CCACTAATATATGAAGCATTCTTCCCACTGACTACCACACTAATGCACCATAGGTTGTATATCTAGTAATTATTGTCAGAGGTTCCTTGAGAACAGACACCTAAATTAGGGGTTCCTCCATCTTAAAAAGGTGGAAATTAAGTTATACAAGACATCTTTTGATACATGGTTCCTTCATAAGAGTCCCAGTGTATATACTGTATGTATATGTATTGAACCTGTCATTGTGCATAATCTGGATAAATATGTTTACCTTTGTATGCTATTACTGCAAACTAGATAACATCTGGAGCAGAATGACTTTATAGTAATGTAGATTGTAGAAATCTATACAGTTGCAATAAAAAGTATGTGAACCCCTTGGGATTACGTGGAGTTTTGCATGAATTGGGCATGAAATGTGCTCTGAACGTCATCTAAGTCACAACAATAGAAGAACACAGTCTTCTGAACATAATACTACACAAACATTAGATGTTGCCATGGTTTAATTGCACATAACATGTAAACATTCACAGTACAGGGAGGAAAAAGTATGTGAACCTTTAGACTTAATAACTGGTTGACCCTCCTTTGGCAGCAATAACCTCAACCAAACATTCCCTGTAGTTGCAGATCAGACCTGCACAACGATCTGGAGTAATTTTGGACCACTCCTCTTCACAAAACTGTTTCAGTGTAGCAATATTCTTGGGATGTCTGGTGTGAATCGCTCTTAGGTCATGCCACATCATTTCAATCGGGTTGAGGTCAGGACTCTGACTGGGCCACTCCAGAAGGCATATTCTGTGCTGTTTGCAGCCATTGTTTTGTTGAATTACTTGTATGCTATGGGTCATTGTCCATCACCCATCCTCTGCGGAGCTTCAGTTGGCGGACAGATGGTCGTACGTTTTCCTGCAAAATGTCTTGATAAACTCTGGCATTCATTTTCCCATCAATGACAACAATCCATCCAGGCCCTGAGGCAGCAAAGCAGCCCCAAACCATGATGCTCCCTCCGCCATGTTTTACAGTATGGATGAGGTTTTGATGTTGGTGTGCTGTGCCTTTTTTTCTCCACACATAATGTTGTGTGTTCTTCCCAAACAACTCAATCTTGGTTTCATCTGTCCAGAGTATATTTTGCCAGTAGTGCTGTGGAACATCCAGGTGCTCTTTTGCAAACTTCAAATGTGCTACAATATTCTTTTTGGACAGCAATGGCTTCCTCCGTGGTGTCCTCCCATGTACTCCATTCTTGTTTAATGTTTTCCTTATTGTAGATGTGTCAACAAAAATGTTAGCATGTGCCAGAAATTTCTGTAGGTCTTTAGCTGACACTCTGGGATTCTTCTTTACCTCATGCAGCATTCTGCGCTGTGCTCTTGCAGTCATTTTTACAGGACAACCACGCCTAGGGAGAGTAGCAACAGTGCTAAACTTTCTCCATTTGTAGACAGTCTGTCTTACCGTGGACACATGAACAACAAGGCTTTTGGAGATACTTTTGTAACCCTTTCCAGCTTCATGCAAGTCAGCAATTCTTGATCGTAGGTCTTCTGAGAGCTCTTTTCTTCGAGGCACGGTTCACATCAGACAGTGCTTCTTGAAACCAGTAAACCCAAAAGAGGTGTGTGTTTTTTAAGGGCAGGACAGCTGTCAGCAACAAATCCAATATCATCACACTGATTGGAGTCAAGGTTGGCTCACTCCTGGCTCCAATTAGCTTTGGGAAAAGTCATTAAGCTAGGGCCTCACATATTTTTCCTCCCTGCACTGTGAATGTTTAACTGTTATGTGCAATTAAACCATGGCAACATCTAATGTTTGTGTAGTATTATGTTCAGCAGACTGTGTTCTTCTATTGTTGTGACTTAGATGATGTTCAGAGCACATTTTATGCCCAATTCATGCAAAACTCCACGTAATCCCAAGGGGTTCACATACTTTTTCTTGCAACTGTATACTTGGTGAACATCTGCTATCATGTTTAAGATGTGGAATGTCACAATGCACCAAGTTCAGGTTAGACTGTATAGATCAGTTTTAGATATACGGTTCCTTAGAAGAATTCCAGTATTTATATCACTGAACTGGTCATTGTACGTAATGTGGATAGAAATATTTTACCTCTGTGTGATGTAACTGTGAATTAGACAAAATCTGAACCAGAGATGACAATCTAGAACTTTATAGTAATGTAGATTCTGAAAGACCATCTAGTGCACTTGAAGAACATCTCACATCATGTCTAATATCTGGATCATAACTTTGTATATTGCACCAAACTCAGGTTAGATTGTGTAAATCATCTTTTGATATTTGGCTCCTTTGGAAGAGGTTTGGTGCTTATAATCCTGAATATTTTACTTCTGGGGACCGTGATTGTGAACTAGGAAGATCTGTATCAGAAAAGACCATCTAGAATGTCATGATAATGTAGCTTGTAGATAATCAGGTGTAAGGGCTAAAATTAGCTTTATACATAGAAATTAAAAAGATTATTACTAGGTGGAAATGTAGACGGTGATGTAAGGGGTATGAATGTTGAGGAAGCCTGACTGTTAGCAGCTTTAATGGGATATGAAGATCAGTAGGATAGGAAAGAAAGTGCCATGGCTTTCACAGCTTCTTATGGGTGCTGTTGGTCTTCTCTGCGAACCTCTACACATAAGGCTGTCATACATGGGAGAATGACTGACTGGTTTTGATATGTTAGCCCATCAGCTTTTTGAAGGCCACATGCAATTTTTTGCTAACTTTGGGCAAAAATACAATGCCACACTTGCACTGAATAAAGGTTCATTATCGTCACTATGCACAAAATGAGATGATTACTTACCAGGGGCGGACTGACCATTTGGAAACTCGGGCACTGTCCGAGGGCCCGGGTGTCAGTAAGGGGCCCCATGAGATGCCCCTGGTACCTTTTTCATAGGCTTTTTTGAGTTTGGGCAAGGACACAGGGGCCCCATGATCCCCTATTGCCCAGGGGCCCCATGAGTTGTCAGTCCGCCCCTGTTACTTACCAATCAAATCAATTATCAACTATGCTGGAAAATGTTTGCACAATTACTAAAGCTTTTTCCAGAAGCGATTGTTATTCCTCATGTCATAACCCCTCCACGGTCTAATTTAGTGGTCTCCAAACTGTGGCCCAGGTGGCTCGTTACTGCTCGTTACTGCTCTTTGCTTGTCTTTATCGGGCCCTCATGGGCACTATTCCTCCAACTGATGCCAATGATGGGGCACCATTCCTCCCAATGGCATCAACAATGGGACACTATTCCTGCCACTGATACCAACAATGGGACACTATTCCTGTCACTGATACCAACAACGGGACACTATTCCTGCCACTGATACCAACAACGGGACACTATTCCTGCCACTGATACCAACCATGGAACACTATTCCTGCCACTGATACCAACAATGGAACACTATTCCTGCCACTGATACCAACAATTGGACACTATTTCTGCCCCTGATACCAACAATGGGACACTATTCATGCCACTGATACCAACAATGGGACACTATTTCTGCCACTGATACCAACAATGGGACACTATTTCTGCCACTGATACCAACAATTGGACACTATTGCTGCCACTGATACCAACAATTGGACACTATTCATGCCACTGATACCAACAATGGGAAACTATTTCTGCCACTGATACCAACAATTGGACACTATTCCTCCCACTAAGACCAATGATGGGGTACTGCTTACTCCCATTGATGGCAGGGCAATTTCTTTTCCCACCAGCCACAGCCTGCCCCTGAAGGACAGTAAATGTGCCCTTTGTTTAGAATGTTTGGAGACCCCTGGCCTAATTATAACAATTAACAATCTAGTCAATTACTTCACCTGCAAGCACTGAATATTGTATAGCCACAAAATAAGTATAAGAGATGTATACATTGATCACTAAACCAAATGTATTATTCTTATGACACAGCCCAAGTCATCATGAAATCACTTTAGCTACATGCTTGTTACAGTCAACTATGACTACACAAATATTTTCTATACAAAAAGATTTAAATCCATCACCTCTTTGGACTTGCACAATCATGACATTGCTGAATTATGTTCCTCTTATTATTTTAATACCATTACACAATGAATCTGATCTCACAGGAGTCACACATCTCCCATGTATGCTAGCACTATGATACATTTATAGCACAAGGCATCTGCTGAAAGCTCTAAATCAGCTTTGCAGAATTGAGAATATTTTATCATAATAAATACACGTACCTATTCATCATTGTTATCATACCCATGGTATGCTACAGTTGTTATATTGTCATTAACATGAGTGAAGAGCTATGTGTTAGAGTGAAAGTATACCAAAAGAAGGTCATACAAAACATGCCTAGGATTGCCCCAATTATCTGAGATTCTGGATGTCAAAATGTGTCAAGCATCCTTTGCTCAACAACAAAAAGAGTTGGAACATCTCCTGGAAAATTGTGTGAAGTTTACTGGAAACTCAATAAGACACAGATGAGGCACTGTATAAACAATTCTAAAAATGCACATCATATTGAATTGAAATTTGTGAACCTGCCTTGAGGAAACATGTCAAAGTTTTACTTAGTAGGCGAAGATAACTGTTGCAGCTTGAAAACACTAGATGGCACCGAACAGTTTTAAATGCTTGTAGTAGATATTACATATGTTTTGCATGTTGGATATGTGTATTATAATTAAAACATGAATTGAAAAACATGATCATCTGCTGTTATTGATTAAGGCAGAAAAAACAAAAAAGTATGAAACCCACAACAACTGATCATCCTTGAGGTCTCATTACATCCCTGGTGCCCAACTTGCAGCCCCAAGTACTTGTTGTGTGGCCCGTGCACCCCAGCAGCCTGTAATGAGAGCATTGCTTTATAACATCAGGAGTAACATCAGGATCTCTACTAGTTTCATGTAACACATTTTGAGTCTGTCACTGTCTTATGAAGTATGTCTCAAGCCTTTAACCCAGCCTTTCTCAACTTCTTTGACATGGAGGAATCCTTAAAATAATATTCAAGTCTCAGGGATCCACCACCAATGTCCACAACTCAAAGGACTGGGTGGACAGTGGGAAGAATGCTTCTTATATTGGTGTATAGCAAAAAGAGTACTTCATACTTTGGTGGTCACTGGGAAGAGTGCTCCATACAGTGGTGGTCAGTGGAAAGAATGCTCCTTACATTGGTGGTCACTGGGAAGAGTGCTCCATACAGAGGTGGTCAGTGGAAAGAATGCTCTTTACATTGGTGGTCAGTGGGAAGAATACACCTTACATTGGTGGTCAGTGGGAAGAGTACTCCTGACATTGGTGGTCACTGGAAAGAAAACTTACAATGGTGGTCACTGGAAAGAATATCCCTTGTATTGGTGGTCAGTGAGAAGAATACACTGGATGAACCCAAGAGTTCCACAGAACCCTCGTTGAGAAAGACTGCTCTAATCATAGCAGCATATCCACAGTCTTTGACCATCATTTCCTCTAGTACGTTTGCAGTCTTCTCTAGCAATACATATACTGAATATTATTTGTGTCTTTTTGCTGATGTCAGGGGCCTCAATTAACATCCCTTTATACCTCGTAGGTTAACAGCCACTGTGTTAAGCCTGCCATAGATGGAGTGATTTTCTTTCCTGCAATCATGGGTTGCAGGAAAGAACTTTGCTTGATTCCCCCATTGATACAGTCAGTGTTGAGGGGGAATCCCTCCCCACTAGCTGCTAGCAATAATCGCATGTAAAATCTGACAGACTTGGTGTATCCAAGTTGATTGATCAACTGGGGTACATTTAGCCATCCCATAGATGATCCAGATCTCGGCTGGTTCAGCAGGGACCGGCTGAGATGTGAACCATCAATGGGCATGCTGAATGTACCCAAGTTGATCGACCAACTTGGGTACAACCCGCCTGTTGGATTTTACATGCGAATATTGCTAGCAGTTAGCGAGGAGGGATTTAACCCTCAACACTGACTGTATTGATGGGGAAATTAGTGATTTTCTTTCCTGTGACCCATGATTTGAAACTTCTATGTCTGGCTGTAAATGATAAAAACGGTTGTATTCAGATCTGTGTAGTGTGTGGTGTGGTGCTGCACACACATTAATGCTAGGTCATGCATTTCGAATGGCTCACCAATGCACCAAAATAGATCTTTTAATGGACCTGCACCTTTTTTTCCAGCACACTACAACACACAGACGGTTTACATCTGTTCATTGTGGTATACTTAGCGCAGGTCCTTGCAATGTGTTACCGCATGTTACAAAAATATGCGAATCATGCCTAAAGTGTGTAGGTCTGTACAGTGTGCAATTTTATTTTATATCGTAAAGTTTACAATTGTAGGCAAAAACTGCACAAAGTTTATCAACTAAACAAAATAATTTGCTATAATTAATGAAGGGAGTATTTTTAAATCATGGAAAAGCTAAATGTAGGTATTAATACTATTAGGCCTTGTGGTATATACTGTGCATTACCTTGTACAATATTTCCTATGTTAAATAGTTTGTATTCAGTGCTGGAAGGTTACTGACATTGGTTGTCTAGTAAATGGGTCCTCTAAAAAAAAAAAGTAATAATAATAAACCCCCCCCCCCCAAAAAAAACTAATTTATTTCAAGTGAGTTCCAGTCTCCTTTCTTGCTCACCAATTTTAATAGCTAGCCTCTAGCTATATAGAGTCGTTCTGTGCAGTGCCTAGGTGACTCATGGCAGAGCTCCATTAAACCTTCTGTATTCCAGAACACTTTCTGTAACTCTCTTACCCTTTCCTCAAATATTAAGAAATAAATTTTTTTTCACTTGTCACCAAACATTGTTCTACTTTTTGTTTCTAACATTTACTGAAATATGAGAGTTAAAGTGGTATTGAACCCAAAAACAAAATGTAATATATTGCAGATTACCCATCCTTACTTGTAGTCGCAGAATTCGTTTTCTTTTAGGCTTTTTTTTCCTTTATTCACATGGTGATCCTGCAAGTAACACTTCAGAGCTTAGGAGCGAAATTGGCCTATGAGTATATATGGGGGAATCAGTTCAGTGTTTTTCGATCAGCCAGCTGACCTGTGCATGTCCAGCTTTGAGATATCTGCATTCTGGATTTAGTAGTAAAGCAGACACCTTTGGACAGCAACATTGTCAGTCTTGGAAGTGTTAGACTAGCAGATTTTGATGGACGTGACTAACAAATTAAATCCCGAATCCAGGTAGCACTTTATAATCAGTTACAGCAACAGTTTTTTTCCTTTTGGGATAAAGATTTTACATAAATGAATAAAAGCTGATCAATGTAAGCACCCCTGCCAGTGGAAAATGGTTTGCTGTGGGCAGCACAGTGGCTAAATGGTTAGCATTTCGGCCTGGCAGTAATAGGGTCGTTGGTTTGAATCCCAACCACAGCACCACCTGCCTGAAGTTTGCATGTTCTCCCTGTGCTTGTGTGGGTTTCCTCCAGGTACTCCGGTTTCCTCCCACACTCCAAAGACATGCTGGTAGGTGAATTGGATCCTGTCTAAATTTGCCCTAGTATGTGTATGTATGAATGTGAGTTAGGGACCTTAGATTGTACACCCCTTGAGGGTTAGGGACTGATGTGAATGTGCAATATATATGTAAAGCACTACGTAAATTGATGGCGCTATATAAGTACCTGAAATAAATAAATAAACCCTTTAACTGCTAATTTGTTTGGACAGCTTGGTCTGTTAAAGTAAGTAGAGAAATAAAGGAGAACAAAAACCATTTAAAAAAAAAGAAAATTAATGCAGCCACCACATCTAGGAATTGGTAAGCTGCAATTTAATACATTTTTGTTTTGGGGTTTAATATCACTTTAAGATGACGTGTCAAGCAAATTCTGAACACATTTACAGAACAAAGCATTTGTTTTTTGTGCATCAGCTCTTTTAGGTTTCAAAATTTTACACAGCTATAGAAATAGATTTTTCTCAGTTGTATAGTCATGCAGACTGTGCAATTTGTATAAAAAGTAAAGTTTTTGGGGGGTTTTTTGTTTTGCTTTTTACAGGAAGGTTTAAATTCTATGCCAGTGTTTTGTGTATGCACTGTATCTTTTTTATTTATTTTATGTAATGTACTGTACATCTGTACTTTTTTATTGTTTGCATTTAAAGTGAAGTAAAGTCAACAGCAGGGGTGGACTGACAACTCATGGTGCCCCTGGGCAATAGGGGATCATGGGGCCCCTGGCAATAGGGGATCATGGGGCCTTGTGTCCTTGCCCAAACTCAAAAAAGCCTATGAAAAAGGTACCAGGGGCATCTCATGGGGCCCCCTACTGACCCCGGGCCCTCGGGCAGTGCCCGAGTTTCCAAACGGTCAGTCCGCCCCTGGTCAACAATACAACTTTTCCTTATTTGCATACAGATTATACATACTCCTTGTTGGTCTAATCAAAATTCTCTAAAGTATTTGCGTTGCTGAGATAATGTTGTTATGCTTCCATGGTGATGTCACTCGCGCATGCTCAGTTTGCAAATCATTCGGACTGTGCCGAGATGTTAAGTGAGCCCTGCCTGGATGTCGTCATCATCTGTCTCCAACATTTTTTCTTCTTGAACTGCATGAACACAGTTAACCAATATCTCTAAAGCCAGAGACATGCAAAGGTAGAGCTAAACGTTGAGTGGCCAACACCAATAGAAAGGAGTAAAGGCACAAATACAGCAGGTTAGAATTTTTCCAAAGCATTAGCTAAACCGTACAAATGGGGTTATGAGTTTTGTGACAGAGATGGATGACTATTTTCTGCTTTAATTAGCCTTGAGTACTGAATTCAATAATGTTAATATTCTAGTACTTAGGACCACCTTAGGACCATTGCTAATTTCGTTGACGAAAATATTTTTTTTCATAATTCTCATCAGCTGCATGTTTTCAGTGACGAAAATTAAATGAGAAAAGATTTCTATTTTTGTCAATTGACGAAAACTATGATGCAAATCAAATACATTTTTTGCCAATGTACAAAAACAGAACAAAAATGTAAGGGAGGGAATTTTACCCACCTGAACTCCTGATTTCCTTGGAGCTCAGTCTGTCTGTTAAAGTCCCAGCCCCCCTGACTCGGCAAGCAGTATTGTCTGAGAGATGCAAGCTCCCTCTACCTGCTGCCTGGAATAATGCCCTGCAAACCACAGAAAAGCTCCCAGCGAATCCGTGCCTGGATGTGACATGGTGAGTGTTTCCCCTCCCAGCAAGGAAGCAGTGCTTAGAACTGTGTAAATTAACAGCTACCCCAGACCGTCCAGTTCTCTGCCCTGTGCACTCCCTCACTCCCATTTACTTCCCCATCCCCATGTGCAGCCTAAATCTGTGTCTGTAGTACATGTTCAAACCTTAATAGCATAAATAATAACATGTTATTAGATTTTAAATCCAGGAGTATATAAATATATATCCAGGAGTTTGAAAATTCTAGATAAATTCTTAAATAATGCATTACAATTTAACAAAACCCATCAGATTTTAGTCGACTAAAATGTACTGGAGATTCATCTAAAATACGACTAAAACTAAAACAATTCAGATGACTAAAATATGACTAAAACTAAAATGGCATTTTAGTCAAAGGACTATGATTAAACTAGATTTAAATTTGGCATCAAAATTTGCACTGCTGAAGAGTTGCTGAAGAGTTGCTAGGGATCATTTGATTGCTGGGGCACCCAGACAATAAGAGTGTACAGTTGAGGTGACTGTACATATTTCTATACAAACGTGTACCTAGATTAAAGAAAACTTCTAAATGGTGGAAACCAAGGGCGGATCTAGGGGGGGTGCTGGGGAGGGATAGCCCCCCCAGATTTCAGTTGTCCCCCCCAAATCCAACAGCCTACCTCCCCTGGACCCTGTAGCCAACTGCTAAACTCCGTCTGTAACCAGGGCAGTGGAGAGATGCAGGGGCACACAGCTTCAGCAGCTCCCTTCTCCTTGTCATGGAACTTTGCAAACAGCCATGTCTACTCCCGGGTTTACTATGTATCTCCATATCTGATCTGTTCTGAGTGTTCATTGCACACAGTCAGCTGGAAAGTATATACAGTAAGGATGAGCTGGAATGTGCAGTGATTGTTCATCACTGACCTGTCAGCACTCATCATAGACTGGAGAGTCAGCCCAGCAGTGTGTAGTGAATGTTCTGTGAGATGGTTTACTTTGATTTAATCCTTTCCTACTGTGCATTGGTTTGCTTGGCTTCTCTTAGGCTGGCAATACATTAAATCTGGCCATAGATGGATCGAATCTCAGCTGGTTCTGAAAGGACTGGCCAAGATTCATTCCATCTATGGGCAGGGTGGTTGTACCCAAGTTGATCCATTGATCAACTT